ACTAGCATGACCCTTTATGATTTATTGTTAGTCATGGCACTATTATATCCACCGTTCTTTGTGCGTACCCCGTTTTTTATTTCGTGGATGGGCTGACTTTTTGTGAGTCAAATTCAGAGACCTTCGCTGAGAGTGGAGACTGCGTGTGTGAAGGGAAGCGACAATGGGGGAGAGAGCTCGTGTGAGTGCAACTGCTGGTGCACACACACACACACACTCACACACACACACACACACACACACACACACACACACCATCACCATCAAATCACCACCACCACCAACAACAACAACAACCGCCACGTCAGATTTCCCCGCAACAAGCAACAAAGCGGACACACACACACAAGATACGACGCACCATCCAAACGAAAGAAAGAGCATGGTGGGGTGCCGAGGCTCCACCGTGGCTGGCGCTGCCCTCGTCGCGGTGTTTGTGTGCTGGTGCATGCTGGCGTGTGCACCTGTGACAACAACGCACGCCGCACGAACCAAGTCGACAACACCAGCAGCACCAACAACACAGGCAATACCACCACCAACAACGAAGGCAGCAACATCAACAAAGACAAGATCACCGTCGCCGTCGTCGTCGCCGTCGTCGCCGCTTGCTGCGTCCACGGCTGTGTCTGTGGTGTCGCCTGGGGCAGGTAACGGCGTGATCGAGTACGCGATATCGTGTCCTGCAACAGAGGACCACCACCTGTTCCTGCCGGCCCGCAGCGACGACGTGGGCGTGTGTGGAAGTGTGAACCGTGGGAAAGGTGGTGATGGTGGCGGCGGCGGTCAAACGGGCGACCTGACCTCCAGCGCGAGCGTGCGTGACCTCGCAGCACTGTCAGCGCCAGGACGACACCGACGCGGGAAGGGCAGCAGCACGCGCTCGCTCTCAGGCGTTGCAAGGCAAACCAAGGCGGCGACAGCAGAGCAGATGCTGGCCGACCATGCGCACCAGCTGATGATAGGGCAGCAGCTCATCAACAACCACCCGAGCGCGCTCGCCGCGACGGCGTCAGAAGAAGACCTCAGGGCAGCGCAGGCGGCCCGCACGCTGTGCGCAGACGAGCACGTGTTTGCTCTGCTCAGCAACGGCAGCTTTTGCAAACTGGACCTTGCCCGACCCTCTGGTGTGGAGTGGTGTAACCAATACGACCCCATCGTCGTCACAGAGTCCTTCGAGGTGGGAAATGTGTGTGTGTGTGTGTGTGCGTGTGTGTGCGTGTGTGTGTGTGTGTGTGTGTGTGTGTGTGTGTGTGTGTGTGTGTGTGTGTGTGTGTGTGTGTGTGTGTGTGTGTGTGGCTGTGTGTGGCTGTGTGTTTGTGATTGTGTATGTGCGTGGGCGCGCTCATGCACCTTCGCCCCTCCTCCCCCCCAACTCTGTCGATCATGTGCAGAACCAGCCAAACGTCGCCATTGGCTTTGAGGATGGCTCCGTGTATTTGGAAGAGAACGGCGCCTTTGCGTGAGCCGTTGTGTGACTTTGTGCGCGTGTGCCTGCGCGCATGTGTTTCTGGGCATGTGCTTGTGTGCTGACAGCCCACTGACTCCACCTTCCATCCTCTGACCCTTCTCCTCTTCTCATTTCAACTCGTGCACCTCTTGCCCGCCCACTCACTGGTTGGTCCTGCTCTTCTGCCACCACCACCATCACCACCACCACCATCACCACCACCACCACCATCACCACCACCACAAACACCACCACCGCCGCCGGCACCACCATTGCCGGAACAGGTCGCTGGGGGTGAAGGTGAGCGACTTTCCGCAAGACTTTGAGGTGGAGGACGTCCGCTTCGCCAAGAGCACAACATCGTGCATGGAACGCGTTGGTCTCCACTCTGGTCGCGTCTACAAGGCCTGCCGCGGGTGGGTTATGCTTGTGCCGTGTTGTGTTGCGGTGTGTATGTGTGAATATGCACATGTTTGTGTTTGTTTGATGTGCATACGTGTTTTGTTGTGTTGTGTTGTGTTGTGTGTGTGTGTGTGTGCGTGTGTGCATGTGTGTGCGTGTGTGCGTGTGCGTGTACGTGTGTGCTCATATCTGTGTGCGTGAAGAACGTTCCACTGTCCGCCCGTGGAACCCCACCTTTGCTTCTCTTTCACTGTCTTTTCTCTTCCCGCGTGTCAATGATCGTGCGTACATGCGCATGTGTCTGTCAGGCAACCGGCCAGTGGCGACGATGAAGACGAAGTGTTCATGCTTCCCTTCACCCGCCACGCCGTTGAGGGCCAGTCCAAATCAACAGGGTGCGCCGCATGTATGTGTGTGTGTGTGTGTGTGAATTGGGATGATGATGTCCAATGTTGTGCTGCGCACATTTGCGCGTTGCTTTGTACTCCTTTTCGCGGCTTCCATCTTAACACCAACACTACCTGCGCATGCTTTGGACTCAAACTTAACCAACCACCAATAGCCACGTGCTACTGAACCTGACGTGGACGCAGTTTGTGGTGATGGACCGCGTTCTGCAGCACGAAGACTTACAGGAGGAGGACTGGTACCACAATCGCGTCTTCTTCGCAACAAACATCACCCACCTCGCATTCGGGGACCCAAACGGTACGTGCGTTTGTGTATTGTGTGTGTGTGTGTGTGTGTGTGTGTGTGTGTGTGTGTGTGTGTGTGTGTGTGTGTGCTTGTGTGTGCTTGTGTGTGTGTGTGTGTGTGTGTGTGTGTGTGTGTGTGTGCTTGTGTGTGTGTGCTTGTGTGTGTGTGGGTGTGTGTGGGTGTGTGTGGGTGTGTGTGTGTGGGTGTGTGTGGGTGTGTGTGTGTGGATGTGTGCTTTGCGTTGTGCTACGTGCTTGTGTCTCCACCCACGTCGCACCACCTCATCCTTTCTTCTGTGTTGGCGCATCAGGTGTGCGTGTGTGGGAAGACACATTTGATGCCCCTGTCGTCTCCATCATCCAACTTCGCGATGGCTCTCTGTACCAGGTGATGATGATGATGATGGTGGCGGTGGCGGTGGCGGTGGTGGTGGTGGTGGTGGTGGGAGTGTGGGGTGGAGCGTGGTGATGCAACAGCGTTGACGGTTGTGGCAGTGGTGGCGTGATGCTGGTGGCAAACTGTTTGTCACACTCGAAATACTCATTGGTGCTGAATGTTGTTTTGTTTTATCCTCGCGCTTCGTTCCATCTCACCTCCGCTGCTTCGCCCCACTGCGCACTGATCAGCTCCCGCACAGCCACTTCATGTTCGACAACAGCAACACGGCACCGGGCGACAAGCCGCTCATCAGACTTGTCGAGGCAGCGGTGTGTGCATGAAGTTGTGAAGTCGTTTGCTTCCTGCAATTGCAATGCATTCTGTTGCCGCGTATCGAAACTGAAGGACACAAGTTGGCACACACACACACACACACACACACACACACACACACACACACACACACACACACACACACACACACACACACACACACACACACGTGCGCGCGCGCATACACAAGTGTCGCCCACTCCACTCAACTCAAGGTGATCTGAAGTCACTCAACTTAACCCAACTCAACGCCTACTCAACACCCACCGCGGTTCATTCATTGCAGCCACTGATTGACCCGAACAACAATGCGGGCATGCTGTCCAACTTGGCGGTCCTGTCGCTTCCGGACGATTCGTCCGTTCCGCTCGTGGCGGAAGTGGACGCCGACACCCGCGATGCCGGCATCTGGGTAAAATGGAATTGGAAATGGAAGTTGAAGTGGAGGGTGAGGGGGTGGTGGAGGGGGGTCAGCATGGTGTTGGTTGGGATTTCGTGGCGCAGTACACGCTGCAGTGTTTGTTTTGGTGCACTCACACACGTGTGTGGTGGCTGTGGTGTCCGCCATGGGTTGCGTTTGTTCGTGTTTTCAGGTGCGACCGGCGCCCGTGCACAGCTTGAGCATACTGCAGGGCCAGTGCGAACCAGGTGATCCTGCACTTACACACACACACACACGCACAGTGTTGAAGTGTCTCGCTTTGTTGCACGTTTTGCCGTTGGTTGCTTGTGCTTTCTCTCACCTGAACGTCGATCGTCGACGCACCTTTCCTAACCGCTCATCACACGAACGACTATTCCCCAACACCTCTCTTCCCTCACGGCTGTATTGTCTTCAGATGACGCCTGCCGACAGCCTGTTGCAGGTGAGGGCAACGCATTGTACAATGGCGAACTCATGTGATCTCGTGACTATTTAGTGATGTGACCGTCCCATATGCTACCTGCACGCCTATACGAACTACTCCTCTTCACACACACACGCACACGCTCACACACACACACACACACCCTCTCTCTCTCTCTCTCTCTCTCTCTCTCTCTCTCTCTCTCTCTCTCTCTCTCTCTCTCTCTCTCTCTCTTTCTCTCTCTCTCTCTCACACACACACACACACATTCACGCGAACACCTTCTCCTCCCCCCCCCCCCAAAAAAAAAATTCCGCGCACTGCAGCGCTGTACGCGGAAGCGGTGAGGAACGCGCGGCGGCGACAGCGAATGGCGGAGCACCGCATGATTGAAGGGCCAACAGGGTCATATCCGCTCGCCCCACACGCAGCGGACACACGCACGGGACAGGGAGCATTGGCCCCATCACCATCGTCGTCGTCGTCGCTGTCACTCGTTTGGTTCATCGGCGCCGGTGTCATTGCAGCAGGTGCGGCTTGAGTGGCAGTGGCATTGGTCTCCTGCGCTGTTTGTTTGTTTGTTTGTTTGTTTGTTTGGTTGGTTGGTTGGTTGGTTGGTTGGTTGTTTGTTTGTTTGTTTGCTTGTTTTTTTTGTTCATGAATTTTGCTGTGTGTTCGCAGACACATCACATCGCGTCGCACTTGTACGGGCGAGAATGGTGCCGTCTCATCACTCGTTTGCCCATTGGCTTCCTCGTTCGTGTAGGCGGTGCTGCCACTGCGGTGGTCCTGTGGCTGCGGCGACAACAGGAGCAGCAGCAGCAGCGCAAACGAGAGGAGGAGGCAAACTTGTGGCTGCAAGAGTTGCAACTGTGTCGCGCCAATCGATCACACCGGCCACGCATCGCCTCCGCAGAGCCATGTACGGCGGTGTTGAAGAGAAAGAGTGGTAGAAAGTCTTGTGTGCGTGAGTGCGTGAGTGCGTGTGCGTGAGTGTGTATATTGTGTGTGTGAATGCGTGTGTGTGTATTGCGTGTTGTGTGTTGTGTGCATGTGTGTACTGTGTACGTATGTATATTGTGTGTGAGTGGGTGTGCGTGTGCACTGTGACGGGGAAGATTTTCCAAAACGAGGCGGTGTGAATCAATGCCACGTGTTTCTTGTGATCATACTCGTGCACATGTGCATCTTGTTTGCTTGTCGAAGACTGCAAGTTTGAGCTGCAAGTGTTCATGACACCTGCAATACGCTGCTTGCCCCATCTGACACGCTCCTATGACCATACGTCCGTGCACTCGTTGTCGTGCGTATGTGTTTGTGTGTGCGTGTATACCCTTCTGCAGACGAAGGGTTGAGCCTTCACCTCAACCGCCGACTTGGAGAGGGAGCAGATAACACCATTGTGTTTGAAGGTGAGCCGTCGCTTTGTTGAAGGGGGTGTTCCTACTGCTGCAGCTTGTACCATTTGTGTTTCTTGTCATCGTTGCCCGCTGCTATGCGTATGTTTTATTCTGTTGGCTTTGATCGATCCGAACGTTCATGTTCATCGCCTTTACTCCTTTGGCTCTTGCCATCATGCCATCATGCCATCATGCCATCATGCCATCATGCCATCATGTACCATTCAACCCTGCTTCCCCTTCCAACCTTTTCCCCTTGCACCCCTTGCACCATACAACACCCTCTCTCCGCAACGTGTCTCGCCAGGCTCCTTCAAGCAGGGGGCGGTGGCTGTGAAAGTGATTGATCTCCACGAGTTTTCGTCGCCCGAGGCCGAACTGCTCCGCTCCTCACACAGCCAGCACGTTGTCAGGTACCATCGACAATGAGGCGCACAAACACACGCACACATATGCACGCACACATGTATACACACATACACACACACACACATGCACACATGCACACACATGCACACATGCACACACATGGACACATGGATGGATGGGGAAGGCGGTCTTGTCGTGGGGATGAATGGCGTTTGTTGCGTTTGCACCGTCAACTGGAGGCATAACATGCTTGTTGGCTTTTGTGGAACCTTTCACTTGTTTCAGTCTGTGTCCTCGTTTGATGTTTCCCTCTTCCTTGAAAAGTTTGATGGTGTCTTGTGTGAAGCCCAAAGTGCTGTTAGTGCTTGTTACTGCCTCGTGAGCTCATGCCCGTTGTTTGGGCGGACAGGTATTACTTGGACTTTGAGCGGCAGAATCTCAAGTTTATCGTCATGGAGCGATGCGTTGGCAACCTGAACACGGTCAGCTGCGCTTCGCTTGTTGCTGTGGTGTAGCTTTGCTGCATTGTGCTGCTGTGTGTGGTGAACGCACACACACACACACACACATACACGCACACACCTCCCTGTCAATTTTCAGTGTTTTTTGAAGTTGCGTGACAGTAACTACCATGTTCCTGACGATGCTGTGCTCGTTGGGTTTCGTTTTGTAACTCCAACCCATGTACGTGCGTGTGTGTATGTGTGTATGTGTATGTGCGTGTGATCAATACCACGACTACAGCTGGTTCAGACGCGGCAGTCGGATGGGTTTGGGCAGCTCTCCAAACTCGACATCACGCGCGGCATGCTGGAGGGCCTTGCATACCTCCACACCCACGGCATCGTGCACAGGTGTGAGAGCGTGGCGATTGTGGTGGGGATTGTGTTGGTGGATTGATGGCAGTAGTGCCGTTACTTGTCATACATGTGTCTTCAGAAGTTCCAAGTCCGAAACCCCACCCCAGCGTTCGCTTCGCACCCAAGCATATCCAACCATTCAACGGACCAAACTTCCATCCCAACAGCCCACTCCATCAACTACCCACTCCATCAACTCCCAATCCATCAAACCAACTCCCCATCCATCTAACCAACTCCGCATCAATCCACATGCACAGGGACATCAAACCGAGCAATGTTCTGATTGCCGTTCGCCTTGGGCGGCACGTGCCTGTGATTGCCGACCTCGGCCTCTCCCGCCGCGTTGCAGACGACAAATCGCTCCGCACAGCAGCTGTCGGCACCCGCGGTGGGTTGGTGGGATTTGAAAGACGTGGGGGGAGGGGGGAAGGAGAAGGAAAGAAGAGAGGCAGGGGGTGGTAACGAATGAAGGGAGGCAGGTTGCAGTTCAAAATAGGATGAGAAACGCGAACGTGAATTGTGTTCATGACTGCAAAAGCCAACGCTGTTTTTTTTTTTTTTTTTCTTTTTCATGCTCATCGGTCCAATGTGACGTGGCACTGCCCCTCGTTTGTCCTGGCAATGTGCAGGATGGCTTGCGCCTGAGGTGGAGCAAGGCGGAGGGCAGGAGGTGAAGATCACACGTGCAGCGGACATTTATTCCGCGGGACGCGTGGTGTCCTTCCTCTACACCAAACGCGTTAAGGTGACTTGGATTGAAGTTTGACCAAACATGGTCTACCTGATTGTCTGTGCAGGTTTCGTGCATGCACGTGTCAATGAGCAGTGGTGGATCATACCTTTCGATCTCATTCACGACCCTTATCTTTTCACACACACACACACTCTCTCTCTCTCACACACACACACACACACTCTCTCTCTCTCATACACACACACACTCACACACACACACACACACGCTCTCACTCACACACACGCTCTCTCATGTGTGATACGGCAAGATTGCGAGCGACCCTCTCTCGTACGAGGAAACGAAACACCTTCGGCAAGCGCTCATTGACAGGTGAGGAGGACCACAACTCCACCATCAACACCTGCATCGACACAATGGGCTTAAGTCGTCTTCTCAGTCGTGCGGGGCAGTGTGGATCATGCGTGATGCTGGCCACAATTTCCGCAACAAGCCGTCAAACAAACACGCACGCACTACAATAACACAATGTTGTGCCGTACGCTTTATTCATTACAACCCTCTCATCTCTTGTCCCTCCCTTTCATGCTGCGTTTCAGGATGACTGCCTCGTCACCAGCTGACCGCTTGTCTGCAGAAGAGTGTCTCAAGCACAAGTTCTGTCGACACGGCGAAGTGTGTGTGTGTGTGTGTGTCTGTGTCTGTGTCTGTGTCTGTGTCTGTCTGTGTCTGTCTGTGTGTGTGTGTATGTGTTGTGTCTTGTGTGGGTTTGAGGGCAAGCGTGCATTGGTGTTGAGGCACTCCGCTCACAATCGCTTTCAATATGCTGTCCGTTGGGGGCTTGACATTGCGTTTGGGACAGGAAAAGGCACTGGCTGATGCACTGCTGCTGAGCATGATTGAACCAAACAGGAAACCAACCATGGGGGAGGCGCAGCTCGGTACGTTTTGCCAACACACACACACGTGCATGTATTTACACAGTGCATGCATACTTGCACGCATGAGCGCGAACACACACATCACCGTCTCCTGCTTGTGTTTGACCACACACTACACCTCATCTTCTTGGAACATTGTCTTCTGTTCCAACGCGTGTGTTGCTGGGGTTGGTGTTGGTGTCTCTTGTTGCGGCGTCAGCGGACAACGTGAAGTTGTCGCTTCGCGATCGTCTCGGCACCGGCGCCGCGAACACGGCCGTCTTTGCTGGTGAGCACTGCACCTGCTCCCTCTGTGCTGATATCAAGACCATTGTCGCCACGACACGCACTCGTCACACGACACACCCTCCTCCTTTACGCATGCTTGCTGCTGCTGCTGCTGCTGCTGTCGAAGTCCCAATCCCCAACCGTCTTTGTTCACAACTCGCTTCCTCCTCTCACCCAAACATACACACATACACGCACATACACACATACATACATACGCACGCACTTTTTGTTTTGTTTCCTTTTTATTTTTTCCAGGCCGGCGCGGGGACACGCCTGTGGCGGTGAAGTGCATAGCGTCGCAGGCCGTGGACGCCGTGCGAGAAATTGAGCGTCTTCACGACGCCCACAACCACAACGTCATCAGGTGTGCGGGTGGGATGCCGTGGTTTGGTGCTGGATGCGGGGATATCTGCAATGCTTGCCGTTGCACAACGAAATGACAGCAGGAGGACCCACCACAGCCACCGCAACAAGCAGGAACAGCAGTAGCAAAAGCACGCCACCCTTGTCACCCACCTAACACGCGCCTGTACTTCTTTTAATTCCATGCACATAGATACTACCAGCACCACGTGGTGCATACGGTGACGTGCATTGTGCTGGAGAAGTGCTTGTGCAGCCTTTCAGATGTGAGTTGCACGATGGAGGACAAGTATGAGCACGTGTTTGGTCTCCTGTTAATGTTGTTGTTGTTGTGACTGCTGCGTGTGTGTATTTGTGCGTGTGTGTGCGTGCGTGTGTGTGTGTGTGTGTGTGTGTGTGTGTTGTGTGTGTGTTGTGTGTGTGTGTGTGTGTGTGTGTGTGTGTGTGTGTGTGTGTGTGTGTGTGTGTGTGTGTGTGTGTGTTGCTCTGTGTGTGTGTGCTGTTGTCTCAGTTGGTGTTGTTGTGCATGTTGTTCTTCCTTGACTCTCCTTTCTCGGTTCACACATCCCAATTCTGCGACCCACAAACAAACAAGTTGCTCAACCTCACTCACACTGACACACTCACACTCACACACACACACACACACACACGCGCGCGCGCGCTGGCGCATCTCCACACCTCCCACACAACACCACTCCCCCCCCCCGGCGCTCCACCTCCAAACAGCTGGTGCAAGGCGGACGTGCTGGAGCCACGCGTGTGCAGCTGTCGCGGCATGCGATTGTGGAAGGGATGCTGAGCGGCCTCGCATATCTGCATGCACACGACATTGTGCACTGTGACGTGAAACCGAGCAATGTCCTGATTGCTGTGCGCCATGGCAAGCACGTGCCTGTGATTGCGGACTTTGGCCTCTCGCGTCGCCTCACGCCAGACGAGTCCTGTCACACACGCAACGTCGGCACGCCAGGTGTGTGTCGTGTGTGTGTGTGTGTGTGTGTGTGTGTGTGTGTGTGTGTGTGTGTGTGTGTGTATGTGTGTGTGTGTGTGTGTGTGTGTGTGTGTGTGTGCGTGCGGTACTGTGTACTTGTTTATTGCGTGTATTTCGAGCGGTGTTGTCGTCACCCGGGGGGGGGGTTGTGTTGAATTCTGCACCATGATCATGAGAGCCCTTTTCCTCACATGCGTTGCACACCTGCTTCATCACATCCCCCATTCATCGTCCGCGGTCAAGGCTGGCTGGCGCCGGAGGTTGATCGGCCGGGCGTGGTGCACGTGACGCCTGCAGTCGACGTGTATGCGGCGGGAATGGTCATCGCCTTCCTCTACGACGCACAAACAGATTCGGTGTGTGTCTGTGTGTCTGTGTGTGTCTGTGTCTGTGTGTCTGTGTGTATGTCTGTATGTCTGTCTGTGTGTGTCTGTGTGTCTGTGTGTATGTGTGTGTCTGTGTGTGTACACGTTGATGAAGGTACGCGCTGGCTGACATATGAGCAACCCTCCTTCCCGATCTCTTCCAACCCCCAACCCCCCCCCCTTTTTCTTTCTTCGGTTTCGTTTCCCTTTCCTTTGGAATCTTCCCCCATTCGTCGCTATCGTGGATAATGACATTGCAGTTACAACCGGACGAGCAGCCTTTCATTGCAACAGCAGAAGTGCGGCGTGACCTCGTGGACAGGTGTGTGTGTGTCTGTGTGTGTGTGTGTGTGTGTGTCTGTGTGTGTCTGTCTGTGTGTCTGTCTGTGTGTGTGTGTGTGTCTGTGTGTGGTGTGGATAGCAGCCGCTAGTTGCTTCCTGATGGCATATTCTGAAATGCACGTGTACACACAAATTCACGTATGTGCATGCATACAGGATGACGAGCAAATTGCCGCAGCAGCGGCCTGCGGTGGCAGCGTGCCTAGCGCACCCGTTTTTCTGGGACGTGTCGGAGGTACAGCAGCACGTGAAGGAGCTCAACGACGACCTGCAGGCGATCAAGAGGGACGCGGGAGACAAGCGCATGTCGGACGAGAGGCGTGCTGCGCTGACACGCCAGCTTGACCACGCCAAGGCCACCTTGCAGCCCCTCCAGCAATCTTGGGCATCGTGGTTTGGTGCGTTTCTATGTTGGGGGAGGGAGGGGGTTGGTGTATGAGATTGTCGCTGTCTGTGTATGTGCACGTGTTGTTTGTGTGTGTGTCTGTGTGTGTGTCTGTGTGTGCGTCTGTGTCTGTGTGTGAGTGTGTGCCTGTGTGCCTGTGTGTCTGTGTGTGAGTGTGTGCCTGTGTGTCTGTGTGTGTGTGTGTCTGTCTGTGGGCGTGTGTTTGTATGCGGTTGTATGCGATTGTATGCGATTGTCTGTGTCTGTGCCTGCCGTGTCGGTCGTCTCGCCCTCATTCCCCCCCCCCAACCTCCCCTCACCCAACCACCGACAACACCAACACCACCAACAAACGCGCGGGCACGCAGATGATCCTGTGTTGAAGGATCACTTGCTTGTTCCAAAGAAGGGGGCAAAGTACAGCACAGACGTGCTGGATGTTATTCGTGCTCTGCGCAACAAGGTGTGTGTGTGTGTGCCGTTTGGCTGGTTGCTTTCGACAACGACCACGTTGTGCCTCTGCGTGATGATGCACGTGCTGACAGACATGCATGTGTGCACGTGTCTTGGCACCAAACAAACTAACACACACACACGCACATGCACTCTCAGAGACATACACACAGTGCACACACACACAGTGCACACACGCACGCACGCACGCACACACACCACACACACACACATACACACTCACTCACGCACACACACCAACCCCCCGTCTGCAGGTTGAGCACATTAAGGAAGTTCCACCACAGGTGTTATCGCCACTGGAGGTGACGCGAGACAACTTGACCATCTTCTTCCTCGAGAGGTGCGTTTGGCGCTGCGTGCATGCACGCATAGCCCAGCCTGGCACGGCCTGGCACGGCCTGGCACGGCTTGGCACGGCTTGGCTTGTGTAAAGTGCCCACGGCGTCTGGTGTATGCATGTGATGCATGGCACACTGCACGCACGCGCGCGCGTGCGCAAACTTACCGACCACGAGCAAGTCACGCCAACTCACGCCAACTCGCGCCACCCACGCCACACATCATTGCACGTTCTCACACCCCACTCGTGCCACGCAACACGCACTGCACGCATAGGTTTCCTGCATTGTTGGTGCATGTGCACTCGCTGCGGGCGTACTTGCAGTCGCAGTAGGCAACCCGTGGCTTCCCCTTGTTACCATGTCGTTGCGGCGGGCCTTCTGCACGGCCTAACCATCGGCACTTAAGCCTCCTGCCCCATCATCTTTTTGCGCTGTTTTTGCTTCTGGCATGTGCTCCTTCAACCACGCGCATAAGTGCGGAAGCATGCAAGCAAGCGTGGCGTGGCGTGGCGTGGGCGTTGGCGTGGGTGCATGTGTCTCACGTCCAGAACAACAAAGCCAACAAAGCAAAACAACAGTGTTTAGCTTGCGAAGCACCGTAGTCGACGTTGTCTTGGGGTTGGCGAACGAAAGCGTGTCCCACTTGTGGTTGGGTGCACCGCATGCAATGCATTTCAAAACGCCGGACCCAACCCACACTTGCATGTTGTTGTGCGATTTGCCTGGTCGTTAGGCGATCCGCCCCGCAAGCACGCTGCACGGGCGCAAGCGAATGTACGAGACGATTGCGTTCTCGTTATGCAACGCGCGTGCGTGTGCGTTGCGCGTCTGGGCAGACACTTCCATCCGCAGTTGTGCTTGACGGTTCGTGTGGAAGTGCAAATTATTGCACACAGCCACGACGTGTGTCACTTTCCACACGCAACCCTCCCACATCAAGCCACACGCACACGCACACACGCGCCACTTCCACACATACAAGTCGGCACTTCCTCTCACCTGCTCTTCCTCCGTCATCGGCGTGGTCAAGCCTAAGCGCAGCGGAGAGGCCCTCAACCCGCACGCGATCATACCCCCCAATATCGGGTGCACTCTTGCAGTGTTGCGCTTCCACCTCCACCTGTTGTTCCACCTCCACGGCCCGCCAGTGCCAAGCGCAAAACACCACCAGGTGCGTTGTTTGTTTGAGGTTTTGTGCTGGCTGTGTGTGCAGGTGATTTGATGTGATTGATGTTGTTGGACCATTTGGTGTCTCCGTTTTGCCCCGCCAACCATGAGCAACACACACACACACGCACACACACACACACGCACATCAAACGACCACACACGAAACCCCCTCCTTTTACCGCTCTTTTTTGACTTCGAAGCGGTCTCGGTGGTGGGTTTCGGACGAGTGCGACTGACTGCAACAGCAACAGCAAATCAGCAATCAGCAGTGGCAAGCGGTGCGGGGCGAATGGGCGGGTCGATGGTGCGGCGCGTTTGTGTTTGTGTGTACAGCGGATGAGGCGTGACGCCCGGTGAGATGACGTCGACGCGTGAGCAACTCGCCCATGATTGTGCAGCACACTTCGACTACGATGACGCCGCCAACGTCATCAACATCAGCAACAACACACAGCACGTGCAATTGAGGCTTGAGCAAGGACGCGTAATCAAACACGCACTTGCTCGCTTGCTTGTGTGTTGTTCGCGTTTGGACGCCCGTTTCCGTCATCATAGCCACACCAGCCGCACGCACCCGACAGAGGAAGCAAAGAAGTGTAGGGGGAAGAGTTTACATTTGCAGCTGCGTGTCGAGGTACCAAGATGACAGGCATTCGATGCTACGATGATGAGTTGCGAGGGAGTGGCGTGTGTCATCTGCAACTTCTATGAGGCAGCCGATGAAGACAGCATGTAGTGGTTGTTCGTTCGTTCGTTCGTTCGTGAGAGCGAGGGATCGATCGACTACCCCGCCAGCCAGCCGTTGATGCGATGCTGCCTGTGTTGTCTCGAGCAAGCAAGCAAGCAAGCCACATCAGCACAACACTTAGATTGCCACCACGTCGCTTTTCCTCCATCCAGCCATGACACATCCCCAACACACGTCCCTAACATAATCACCCAACGCTTGCACCACAACCCCAATGTTACTGCGAATTACTCATCACCATCGCAATGCGGCTGGCTTGTTGTGACAACGCGGGCATTGTTTGATTGCTCTTCTGTTGCTTGCAAGCAAGCAGGGAGGAGAATGAATAGCGGTCATGCGCAATTGGACGACAACAGCACACCGGACGACACGCACGGCCCCGCAGGAAGTGCTCATGTTGACGACACCCCGACGCCATCAGCCCCTCAACCCACCACCGCTGCTACCGCCGCCTCCGCCACCATCCCACCCTCAACGACAACCCCTTCCTCCTCATCTCACCATACCCTGACCCTAGTCTCCGGAACAAGCGTGGGGGCGGCTCCGGCAATCTCTTCAACGCGGACACCACCACCACCACCACCACCACCGACGACATCAACCACGGCGACACCAACACCAACAACAACGACGACGACAGCAACGACGGTGACGAGCGGCCCACCCACCACCACCACCACCACCGTTGCTGCCACCGTCTCTGCCACCGCGGTTGAAGAGTATAGCAGGCAACCCCAGCCACAACTACGTGGACAGCAGCCACAAGTACGTGGACAGATCCTTGCGGAACCGGTCTTGGCGACACCCTCGCGACTTGTCATCTCGCAACACCAGGCTGAATCGCCATTGCCCCAGCAATCACAGCAACAACAACAAGAAGAAGAAGAACAACAACAACAACAAGAAGAAGAACAAGAAGAAGAAGAAGAAGAACAACAACAACAACAACAACAACAACAACAACAACAACAACAACAACAACAACAACAACAACAACAACAACAACAACAACAACAACAACAGCAGCAGCAGCAGCAGCAGCAGCAGCAGCAGCAGCAGCAGCAGCAGCATGTGCATCAATTGCTCCAAAGCTTGACGGCTCCAGACACGCCATTCCCTCCTTTCCACCCCCTCTTCCAAACCCCGGGCTTTCACGCCCACCATCATCACCAACAGCACCAACAGCACCAACAACACCAACAGCATCATCAGCATCATCAGCATCATCAGGCCCCCGCGCCAACTACCTTGCCGCAACAGCCATTCCCCACGCCTCAAGCAATCCCAGCTGAACTCATGCACAGCCTGCAATATCAGCATGGCACAGGCATGGAGAATGTGCTGCGACATTTCCTGCAAAGCCAACAGATGCAATTTCCACAACCCGTGACACAGGCACCACATTTACAGCAGCTTCAACAACATGTGCAGCAACTACAGCAACAGCCGCCGCCACCACCACTGCCACAATCGCAACCGCATCCTCAGCACCCGCAGCAGCCTCCGCTTGGTGTCGCCCCATGGCATGGCCCACAGCACGCCGGCATGATGGCACCGTCATTGCTACCACCCGCGACAGCAGAGGCAGCACAAGTGCTTGGTGGTGGCATGGAGGCGCCAGCCAAACGTGCAAAGTACACGACGACGCCCAAGCCAGAACAAACAACCACACCCGACACAGGGTCAGCCACAGCACACACACCCCAGGCACCATCCTCGGTTGTATCCATGGCAGGAGCCGCCACGACGCAAAGCCGTCAAGGGAAAAAGGTACGCATATAAAAACACACACACACACACACACAATGGGGAGGTGAGACAGGGCAATTGAGAAGCGACAAGTGGCGTGGGGAGGAAGGCAGAAGAGGAAGCGAGGAGGGATGCCAAGCTGAGTTATGCGATGCAAACTGTCGTGCAAGTGTTGATGATGAAGCAGTTTCACAAAACACTTCGAGCTAGCAAGGAAATCCTGTTTGAATGCATTTATAACAGCACTGTGCACATTGTGGCTGATGGTGGAATGCGCGACCAACTCACATCCATCGTACATGCTTGTTTGCTTGCTTGCATGCATGCAACGTGGCGTCCTCAGCCATATGTGTACTGTGTGCGGATCAAGGCGTACATCAGCGTCCTCTACGATGCTCAGCTGGCACGCGCCAAGAAACGTCCTGAAACACAGCGGCAAGGTCGAGACGTTGATGATGATGATGACGAGGACGACGACAAACAACAACGGCATCAACATCAGCAACAGCAACATGGGCAGCAACAGGAGTTTCACTATCACGAGGCAGATGTTGCCGCCTTCATGTCGCTTGCAGCAACCGACAAGTTCTGCGGGCAGTACACAAAGCGGTACGCATCCCTCCACCCCCACGACGACATGATTCACGAGCACAAAGTCTGGGATGAGGGCGATGCTGGCGATGCCGGTGCCAGCCAACGCGGCAAGGATGATGATGATGATGATGACAACGACAACGACAACGACAACGACGACGACAACGACGACGGCAAGAAGCGTGATGACAACGACCACAACGATGACAATGGCGGCGGTGACGGTGAAGAAGCAAGCTCATCTGGCGCGCGCCCTGCCCAGCTTCACGTCTCCACCGCACGCGTGCTGTTGAAGGGCAAGACGCGACTTCTGCTGACGGTGAAGCGGCGAGCGCTTGACATCATCCCCATGAGCGGAACTGTGCTGTTCTTCGCCCAGGGGCTGGTGGCGCCCGTGAAGATTGTGCGCCCGTCTGATCTCGCTGACACCTTCATCACGGATGAGCAGCAGCGGCAGATTACGCGGTGGGACTTTGGCGTGCACCGCAGCTTGGTTGTGGCGCACACCAGCATCGCCGCCTTCCTGGCGCAGCACGAGCACTTCTCGCACGTGCTGCTGCCGCGTGACATGGGCAGGCACGGGCTCTCCGTGATGGAGACAGACGTGCGGGTTGGCGGCGATGATGCTGATGGTGGTGGTGGTGAGGAAAAGCAGGACAGGGGAGAGGACCATGTGCTGTGTCTGAAGCTGATCAAGCTTGGTGTGCGGGTTGCGCCACGCGGCAAGGCGGCTGAGCTTCGGTACTACACCTGGGCGAAGGAGGAGGACACGCGCACGGGCGTGACCATCAAGTGCGAGGTACTCGGCAGCGAACGCACACACTCGCGGGCCAACGCCCGCCTGGAGAGCAGGGTTGCCTCGCGGTATCAGCAGTGGAGGACAGTGAGCTCCAACACGGACGATCGCGAGTGTCTGCACGTCGTGCTCGCACGGCGCAACCGTCGCGTCACCATGTGGATCCGCCCTCTATCCAGATGACAACACCTGCGTCCGTGTTGTTGGTGTTGGTGTTGTTTGTGTTGTTGTTGAGTGACGACTGTTCTGACTGTTGTTTGTGTTGTTGTTGTGATGCTGGTGTTGTCGCTGTTACTGTTGCGTTTGTTGTTGAAAGGCTGTTGCTCGACGTTGTAATGTCGTCGCGCCGACGGTAGTGTGACTTTGTCGTCGTCGTGCGGTGTGCGCTTTTGTTGCGGGATGCAGCTGGTGTGGGGTTCACATGCGCCACACTCGCAAGCCAGTGTGCTTTCCGCTGCTTCGTCTTTGCCCTCCCTCTAAGCTCTCTCTGGTTGATCATGTTCTCTTTCTTCCGATACGCTTCATCCGTCTTCCTTCGTCTCGATACGTTCATCCTTTCATCTTCGTGTCACCTCGTGGCGTGTAGTCCTCAGGCCCTCCTCCCTTGTGCCATGCTTGCCACCATGCATGCTTGCACTCTGCCAGCTCGCTTGATCCTTGTCTTTTCTCACCACGACATGCTGGTGGCGTGTTGTCCTCGCGCTGTACATCTTGTACATTGGTCCCCAACATCATGTCTTCATGTCACATCACTTTACATTACTCCTAGTTGTCTTCCGTCATCGAGTCATCATTGCTTCACTGCTGTCTCCTCCTTCCTCCCCGGCATGCTGTGTGTAAGCAACGGATGTGCATACGTTCTTAAATGGTTGCTGACTGCCATTCCACGTTCACTGCCGCACTCAAACGCATCCAAAACGCGTTCATGTGCCCTTGTGTCCATTATTGTTGTTCGCCTCTCGGTTCGGTGTCCATACGTTTGTACGTGTACAACTCTCAGAACTCTCTCACTCTTGATATCGCTCGCGTTGCTTGGTTGAGGCTGCGCATGTCCGTTTCGATGGTGCATGACGCTGCGTTCATCTCTCTGTGCCATCACTGCAGCTGTCGCACCCTGGCTGTGCTCGCTTGCTTCCTGAAGTGCACTTGGTCCGTCTTGGTCCGCTCGTCATCTTCATGCCCTCAGTTCTTCGCTGCGCTGCGCTGCTTCGTCTGACCGTCTCATAAATGCAATTCTTCGTTGTGTTGACATGCGACGCGATTGCTGTGAACATGTGGGACATGTGGGTTGCTGGTGTGAGCATGTGTGCTGGATGGACGGGTGGCACTGAGTGGGGTGCAGGACAACGGGACATCTGCGTGTACATGCTGATGTCTCGTGTGTTCTTGTGTCTGTTGGTGTGTCTGTTGGTTTCAGCGTGCTTGCTTGCAGGCAACGTGGGGTGTTCGGGGTTTGAATGGTGTGCTCCACGCACAGCATCACTCATGAACACCGGTTGACCGCATGCTTGCTGATAAGTTGTGTTGTGGTCATTGTTGTGGTTGTGAAGTTTGTCCGGACATGTCTGAGCCACTTTGTGATATCTTGCACAATGTGTATGTGGTCGACTGAGCAGTTCTTGTCGTTCACGCATCGTGCACGAGAAAGACACGAATGGGTGCGAGCGAGGAACGTGTTACGACAAGTTCATGGTCACAGAAAGGAGAGGGGGGAGGAAGTTGCTGCATGGCGCGGCTGATGGCAAGCACACATGAAAGGAGCCACGTGCACATGGATGAGTGCACGAGGAAAGGCACACAGACACGGGAGAGGAGGAAGAAGAAGACGATCAGCAAGAACAACAAGCACAGATGCAAGAAAAGTAAGGGAGCAGACGGGGTGTGTTGCGCTGCGCTGTGCTGTTTACTGCTCTGCCCTGCGGCGGCGGGCACCACCCTTGCGAGCGTCACCACCAGATACGGCCGCCTTGTCGCCAGCGTCCTCGTCCTCCTGCTCATCGTCGTCCTTGTTGCCGCCACTCTCGCCCTTCTTCTTGTCCTGCTTGTGCTTCTGCTGCATGGCTTGCTCCTGCTTTGCCTGCTGCACACGCACCGCCGCCTCCTGCACTCGTGCGAATGTGTCGTATGTATGTGTACGTTTGTGTATGTGTGTTGTTGTGTATGTGTGTTGTGTTGTGTGTGTGTGTGTGCGCGCGTGTGTATGTTGTGTGGGTGCAGCGAGTGCAATACCATGACAAGCCTCTCTCTCCACACACACACACACACACACACACACACACACACACACACACACACACACACACACACACACACAC